ATATTAAATTAGACTTTACTGTCTGATATTTTTAGGTTACGTTGTTCCATTGTAATTTGAAGGGCCCTGCCACCTCCCTTTGAGACACATGAGAACCAAATTGATGCTCCAAGTCACAGATGATGTTTCATAAAATCATGCTTTTTAAGCTTGATTTTATTAACTTAGTTATAGATTTAGCCAAATGTACATTACATGTCATGAACAGAAGTGACTGGATCCAGTCATTGTGCTGGATCCCGACGGTTGTCGACAACTGCAACAACTTTTGGCTGATTCATCTTCAAATATTACCGACAGCTGTGACTCCATACAGTGCTATTAATATTTGTACCCGGAGCACTTCCTGAATGTGCCTGAAAGAATGTACTCAGGACAGTAAAATCCCAAATCTATAGTGAGTGGGCGTTGTTATTAGGCGTCGCGTCCGTTGCGTCATGGAATTTGTTTAAGAACGTTCTGTCGGATTCCAGAGAAGCTCGCCATCTTGGAAGACGAACAGTCGGAGGCATTTTTAAGTTTCTTTGTTCATAGTTTTTAATATAACCGACAGAACTACTCTTTCGAATCACATTACTGTAAAAGAGAGGTAAGACAATTTCTCATTATCACAATAACCACATTTTTTTTCGGTTACCTACAGTTTGGCATTAGTGTATTGACCGTACTGTAAGCTAACGTTAGCTAGTTAGCATTCCCGATATTCGACGTCTCGACAACATGGCAGATCTGGCTAATTAGCCATGGCTAAGTACAAGAATGTGTTTACTGGGGTACTGTAAGTGGGCAAACATGAGTGCAGCTACTTACAGTTGTGGCAACTATTATTTTAAAGGTGGCTACCACATTGGGATATCTTAGTTTAACATGTATAAAGCTGTTAAAGGTAGCCTTAACGTAATGTTGTTGTAGGGGTGGCTAATGTAGTTAGGATGCTCGGCGCTCGATGGGCCTTTGGATTGAGATCAAACTGATATTCGACGATTTAACGTTACTGCTGTATCTGCTCATATCTAGCCAGTTGACTACTATTACAACCCTATCAAATGAGTTAGCACATCTTGGGTTGCATATTATTTAACATAAATGCACCAATTGATAAACATGGAATTTAAACATCGACTTTGTCAGGCCGTGAAATCTACATCATGGCGTAGTGGAAACGTCGACATTAATGTATATTAACGTTGGCCCCAAGTTAGTTTCCCTGCGTTTCGTGCTCTCCGATCATTTTTTTCGTGGAAGTTAACGTCTAGTAAGCTAACGTAAATATTGAGTAATGTTTGTGTTATAACGTCAACGTGAACGCTTGCAAGTATTGCCTTGCGCCTTATGCATTTGTTTGCAGACAGATGACGTTACGCAATCATAATATGGAAGGTTGTCTTTCGTTTAGTTTGAGAGTTGCAACCACTGATCATTTTCACTGTATTTTGCTGAATAGACTCACGAAGAATTGTTTGATTACTTTGACGTTTTAATTTGCATTCAAAAGGAATGACACCCATAACGTATTTTTAGAGCCCAAGATGACACTTTCAGATTGTGTGGTTTGTCTGACCAACAATTTAAAATGCAAAGATTTGTATTTACAGTTTAAAATGAAAGATAGATGAGCTGATTATGAGAATATTGGAAGAAGTTGAAGCCAAAGAACGGTAGTTACTTTTTTACATGATAAACGATTGACTGATTTGAATGATCAACTTTAATCCCTTTTTATTATTTACAGGGTTGGAAATTAGCCACATCCAAATGCTGGTGAAATATGCAAGTGGCTGCTAAATTCGCTCACCAGCCAAAAACACAATGGTAATTTATTGAGTGGCTGGTAGATCTTGGAATCCAGCAGCCATGACAAAAAGTTAATTTTCAACACTTTGCACATATACAGCTCTTAATGTGAAAACCCTTTGGCTATCATTGCATAACGATATTCAGGCTCTGGGGAAGGCACAAATTTGCATTTTCAAGTATAGCAAGGCCATAGGGTGGATCATGCCTTCACTATCCCAGGAAGCACAAATTTGCCTGGAGGGCAGCTGCTGATATTCTGGGTGTTTCGGTGCAGGCGGTTATCCAGGCCATAACTTCCTCTTTTGTGCACTAGTCTAGTCGTTGTATACAGCTCATTTAGCAACTGAAATCCAGACAGAAATTTGGCTAATCTTTAAACGGATATCTGCATATGAATTCAGATTACTTAGAAAGGAAAAGCTACACCGTTGTCAGACAACCAGTGGATTCTGATTTTCAATTTATTCAGCCCATAGACACACACAGAGTGTCTAAGGAAGTTGCTCATTGGTTTATGAGTCAAAAAAAGTTTGACTTCTCGGGTATAAAATTAGGTGGAGCTTCCACATTTTTGGGCTCACTGAACAAGTGCACAAGAAATTGAGCAGCTAACGTCTTTTTAGCCCTTCGCTAACTTAAATGGGGATGAAACGATTTAATCTGAAATTGCCTTCAAAGTTGCTGCGTTTCCTGGGGGCCTGATTCAGCCTCTTTTATTCTCCATGAGGACTGTTTACAAGCATGCAACCAAAACCTGCTTACACGTGATTGGTCAATGCTACTTGTACTACAAACATAAACCAGAGCACTTCAGTTACTAAAATTTTGTCCCAATGGCCACAGATTCTGCATATATTCAGATATCCGCACATACAGATTATACTACTATCAGTTTGAGCTGGCACATCTTAAACACAACATTGGGTCTAAATACATGGCTACAAAAATATTTCAATGACTGATAAATTACATATTGTCAATTATGACTCTGTGGAATTCTGGTTTGACTTGTCTTTCCCCTGTCTTTCAGATGCGACACTCAAAGCGAATGCGCTCCCCGGGTGTCTGGCTTGACGAGTACAGCTGGGAAGAGAGAATGGATTGTCGCAAGCGGAAGAAACACGATTCACACAGCAGTGAACGAGAAAATAAGTCCAGAAAAACTCACCGTCACCAGAAAACGTATGATGGGTAAATATCGATCATTTGTTGTGTAACGTGCCGACTCACATTCTAAGACCTTTTTGGGGTTTTGGTTTCTTAATGTACACTATTAACTGAAGTGAGCAATATATCAACAACTAGATTATGAGAGTGAAGGAGTTCTACAGTGTTACATGAAGTGTTAGGTATACTCGAAATATGAAATAAAAGCTTTTTATTGACCTTATTGTAGAAAAAGTTGCTTAACCATCATATTAAAACATTTATTGGAAAAAAATGTGACAAATTTGTGATAAATGTCAGGATAAAAATTAAAAATGGACATATTGTGTCTTTCACTTTGTCCTTTAAATGTATCCAAGAAAGGCAACTTGAGCCAAATTGGCAGATATGTTGACAATCATTAGATGATGTTGGAAATTGTCTTTAAGTGTAATAACTGTTTTAACATGAAACATGGCAGCAATGATGCTTTGATTTAATTGGGAAGCAACTGTTCGAATGCAGACCAGTTGAGGTTTTAAGAATAGTAAGTAGTAGTTTGCACCATTATTATTAGATGAGTCCATTTATACTGTTTCAGAATTTTAGTGGCGTGTGCTGCCATGTTTTGAGAAACTTCCAGTGAGGCTAACAAGACTTCAGATTTGTTATCAGCTCATGTGCTCCATACCAAAGAGTGTGTGTACATTGTAGACAGGGTTTGAACTTAACTTTTTCTTTTATCCACCTGTCACTGTGGCTGCTGGATTCCAAAATCTACCAGTCACTCAGTTACCATTGTTTTTTTTGTTTTGTATTTTTACTATTGAGTGAAGCAAATCTAGCAGCTGCTTGGACATTTGGCGGTGCTAATCCCAACCCTGATTGTAGACCACAACTATGACATACCAATATGTCTAACTTGCAGTGTTTGTTTTTGTCATGGCATGTCAGATACATTTTCTAAAATGAATCCTTTTGCCCTTAAATGGTAACGGAGTCAAATTGCAATTTCAGTGTCACCTGGTTAAGTTATGTGCAATGTTAATGTTTTGCAATTCTAGCTTTTGTGGGCATGTATGATGACCCAAGGGGTTACATTAGACGTTTCCAGATATACTCTATTTTAATTCTGTAGAGAGGCAGACCTCCTCCCAGAAGACAACTGACACCACCAGGGTGCTAGGGCCCTGGGGGGGGTTCATAGTCTTTTTTAGATGCTAAGGTGCTAACATGGCCTGCTAGGCGGGTGGGTTGGAAACATTCTGAGGAAACGTAACCATAACGAGCAAACATTAGGATGTTAAACAGCAAGGCATCTATAAGGAACTGTTTGATTGTATTAGGAATTTTTATGTTAGCAATAAACAAATTTCCTTTTGAGATATTTGTTCTCTTCGTTTCATATTGGCAGAAATGATACCTCATAAGTGTTCACCTCTTGCGTACTTAGATCTGCAGGTGGTATAATCACAGATCGTATTACGCACTATCAGGTTGTGCTGAAAAGCTTTCAGCAACTTTGAATGCCTCGCACATATACTGTGCCAGTGTGGCGCTCTGTCAGGGTGCATGAGTTTTAAGGAAGGCAGGGTTTGGGTTGCTAAGGAGACAGCTGTATAATTGGCAAAATTGCCTAAATATGGGGCATTCATTACATGTTGGCATTTGAATACCCCTAGAAGTACTATTTTCAAAGTGATTAAACTGATAATAAAATACTTCCTGAACTGTAGCCTCATTGAATAGGATTCCTGGTGTTTGGTGTCTGTAAATCAGTATGTTGCTAATTCCAAATGTTACATAAAAGGCTCGGGATAGAGTGTCAGGCAACAGGCGGACCATTGGCACCGTCATATTCAGTCTTCATTTGAGCGCTTGATCACAGACAAGGAACAGGGCTGCGTTTGACCTGACATATGCTTTCTAGTCCTTGTTTTTGATTTGTGTCTGTCATTGTTTTTGTTTGACTGCAGGCATTACTTGGAGACCCGCAGTTTGAACCAGAGGCTGGACTCAAGGGAGCGAACCCCTGGGGACCACAGTTTCGGCATGGCCTGTGAGGAGGACAGTCGTGAAGGCACCTGCAAGGACAAAGACAGAGACTGGCATCACTACAGCAAGTCATCCGGACGCAGTGGTCGGAGTGGTCGCAGCAGACGAAGCAGCCGCAGGCACAGAGACAGAAGGCGCAGACGTAGCCACTCTCGCCACAGGTCGTCCTCGGTACGAGAACCTCCTACCTCCCCTCTTCTCCCCTCTCCTGTCTTTGCCACCAAATCGAATGGGTCATCACAGGTGTTTAGCCAATGCTTAACACCTATCTCTTTGTCTCTCTGTATCTCTGTGTGTCCCACTCTTCACTATTAAGCATGATATCCAATATTGACATGTAGGGGACTTGGGGGCTCAGGAAGTAAGAGATTGTGAGTGTTTATAGATTTGCTAGCGAAAAGTGGACCCAGTATTTGTGCTGAAATCTAAGTGGGCAGTTATGGGACGTGTTAGTAAAGAATTAAGTTGTTTCGGAAGAGATACAAAGAACTACATGTAGAAAGACTGTAATCAATCAAGTTCAGTTTTTTTTCTGTACTACTCTGAGAAAGTCTCTCATCTGAAAATCTTGTTGCCATGTTTTTCTTCTGTAACACACACTATGTGGTGGCTGGCGCCCAATTTCTCTGACGGGGCTGAATTTGAATTTGCTGCTCCGTCCTTCCGTCCATTCGCCTGGCGGTGTTACTGAACGGGCCGAATCTATCCACCCCTACACCTCCCCCCCTTGGCCTGGTTGAATGAATGACGATGTCGCATTGTGGTGGCCTGGTGCTGGCTGACTGATGGGTTATTGATGTGATGGCGGATTGCGGCGGTTCCGGTGCAGAGGAGGAGCCATCAGCGCAGGAGCAGGAAAAGATCCAGGAGTGTTGAGGATGATGACGAGGGTCACCTCATCTATCACAGTGGAGACATGCTGAGAGCGAGATGTATAGAATATATACCTTTTTTTTCTACTGTTGTTCACACTTTGTCTCTCTCACTCTCTTGTTGTCTGGTTTATTTCCAAACATTAATGTAGAGGCTGAAGTATTTGGGCTAATAGACTTACATTTTTTTTGGTTAAATATTGCTTGTCAGTGTAATATATTTAGTACTGAGCTGTATTCCAGTGTTCAGAAGCCTGTTATAGTAGTGTAGCTAAACAGCAATGCAACATCAGGCAGTGAACCAGTCAAACGGCAGTGTTTCACTTTGTCAGTGTTGTGTTTCTAACTTCAACTCTCTATTTCCTGTAGATGAGATTGTGTGTACACTAGGAGAGGGTGCCTTTGGGAAGGTCGTCGAATGCATTGATCACACTAAGTAAGAAAATATTCCTCACAGCTCAGTGTTTTTAATATTTTCTCTCACTCTTTCTTCCTGCGTTTGGTATTAAAAGTATTTATATTGTGTGCTTCCAGTGATGGAGCTCGAGTGGCTCTGAAGATCATTAAAAACATAGACCGCTACCGTGAGGCAGCTATGTCTGAGGTAGAGGTGCTTGAACAGTTGAAGTCCCTTGACACTGATAAAAGATAGTAAGTCAATCCACAAAAACACAATCATCTTGTGCTCGTCACATATGAAATTATGTTCAAGATTTGCCATGCAAGAAACTTATTTTGCATCTGCTATACCTCTCCTCTGCAGTGCGTGTGTACACATCCTGGACTGGTTTGACTACCACGGCCATGTTTGTATTGCCTTTGAACTGCTTGGCCTCAGCACCTATGATTTCCTGAAGGAAAACAACTTCCAGCCTTTCCCCATAGAACACATTCGGCACATGGCGTATCAGATCATCCGGGCTGTGCGATGTGAGTAATTAACACAAGCATGCACAGAAAATACAGTATATGAACAGGGAAAAAACAGCTTGTTTTAAAATGTATGTGATCTTGTCTTTCAGTTCTGCATAACAACAAGCTGACTCACACAGATCTGAAGCCTGAGAATATTCTCTTCATTGATTCAGACTATGATATGGAGTACAACTCTGAATTGGTAAGTGTCCAAAAGAAACATAAACCTGCCAACGTATACGTTTAAGTCCAAAACTTCTTGTGTGTGTAACGGGGTTGTGTTATTGTCCTCAGAAACGTGATGAACGAACATTGAAGAACCCAGATGTGAAAATTGTGGACTTTGGTAACGCCACATATGAACACGAGCACCACACCTCTGTGGTGTCAACGCGTCACTACCGTGCTCCTGAAGTCATTTTAGGTACGTGTTTGTTTTTCTTGTTTGTTTAGACAGATCCTTTTATGGTGATGTGTTACTCAGTGAACATCGTTTCTTTCAGATCTTGGCTGGGACCATTCCTGTGATGTCTGGAGTGTAGGCTGCATACTCATTGAGTACTACCTTGGATCTACTCTCTTCCAGGTACGTGACAGCAGAGAGCTTAATAAAAATTATTACTACTGTCACGTTTACCATGGCATTTCTTATGATTTGTAATATTGTTTTCTCCTTCAGACTCATGACAGTAAAGAGCATCTTGCCATGATGGAGAGAGTCCTGGGCCCCATCCCCACACACCTCCTGCAGAAAACCAAGTATGTGGACCACTGAGTGTTTTATTTGTAGCATTTATAAAGCCACCTTAACATTATGTGCAGATAGTTAATTTATTTTTTTCATTTACATTAATCTTGTAATGATTGTCTGCTGTACAGGAAGCGGCGGTACGTTCATCGGGGCAAACTTGACTGGGATGCGCACAGCTCTTCTGGGAGATATGTCAGGAAACACTGCAAACCCCTCAAGGTGAGAGGAATACTACTGGAGACAGTCACACATAGTCAAAGTGTGCTCCAAGACTCGCATCTGAAAACACCCGTGTTTATCAAATGTGATTAAAAATAGACGTTCCAACAACGCCGAAACTCTGATGTGAACGTGTTAGCTAGCACGGTAGCAATCAGTACAGCCAAGTTTTATTCAGAGGTTCAACACTTGTACATAGCTCTGAACTCCACAGTAAGGACAGGATTCCTAATTATGCAGCATGTACCCACTGAGCCCAAGGTGCCAATCACACAGAAAGCGTTTTGCACGTAGCAGCACCGCACTGCTTTTTTTTTTTAATTGAATGCCAACCACACCAACACGTCCTTACACTAACCTTCTTGTGTAATCAATCTACTGTTTTTCCCCCAGTAATTAGTATCTAGTTCCTAAAATGTTTAGGCAGAGGATACTTTCTCTAGCTGTTGTTGAGGGTGAGAGGCTGTCAGCAAATAGTTTGTCGCAAGGCGCAAGGAAACGGAGATCTGTGTGTGTGTACATGAGAGCCTAAAAAAAGAGGGTGGATCACAGGGAGTATCGCCAGTTGGTCTAGGAGCTTCGCCTTGATGATGGTTTCAAGGCATATTTTAGGATGACAACCTGCTGTCTGTCAGGCTGTATAGCTCTGGGTATCCAGCAATCGCTACCACTAGAACTGTAAACTTGTTTTCGTGACCATGATGAAAAGGGGGATGACATGGGGTGTTTTTCCACTCAGTTATTTCAACTTGGGCAGTTCAGAGCAAAAGTGTGCGATGCGCTGCAGAAACGCGAGCTAAAGGCTTCATTCTCATTAAAAACAGTTACAAAAATGCACCTCCAGCTGCTAAATCACTTTGTGTGATCAGGGCCTGAGACACTATATAACAAATGATGAAATATTACAGCTGGACCTATGGTTTGAAATTGTATAAACCTGTCTCCTAAAAGGGCAGGGTCGTCTCTCCACTGCATCCCCCCACCCTGTTTTGAGATGTTGTGAACGTCGTGTGGAAGGATGAAGGCTGATTCAAAACAACACTAGATACTGTACAAATTTAGTGCTTGCTTTTTATTTTGCTGCTCATTTTTATCTGCTAGCTTAGCATTTGATATCAACCCAGTTTTAAATCGTATCATTTGCTGAATCAGTGTCAGGTCTCACACTAAGTTCATTTTCTCCTTATTTTTCTGTTTGAATTGGGCTGTTGTAGAGTCTTATTGTTCAGAAGATAGATTTCCCAAAGTGTGTTCAACACTGAACTTCTACCTCAGTCACAAGTTGAATTGCACCTAATAGTCTCATGCAGAGACAGAAATTGAGCATCACCAAACTGGTACTTATTGCAGGGCTCTTATGTTTTGTTCACCCTGCACATGCTTTAAAATATCGACCAGATTAATCGCGACATATTTTAAAGTTGTCCTTCCTTTCTTATCAGCATTACATGCTGTCAACGTGTGAAGACCACAACCAGCTGTTTGACCTGATAGAGAAGATGATGGAGTATGACCCAGCCAAGCGCCTCAGTCTGGAGCAGGCCCTCCGTCATCCCTTCTTCTCCTGCTACCGCAAGAGCACCAGCACCAGCATCAGAAGCAGCAGCAGCACTAGCAGCAAAAAGGACTGAACTCCTCAACCTGTAAACCTCTGACCTGTAACCTCGGCCAGGACCTGGCTTTCACCATGACATGTATCATGGTGCACGGTGCCAGCCTCTACTTCCTGACTCTCCAGGAGAGGAGTACCTTAACTGACTGTATCAGTCCACTGCCCTGCTTTGCTGTGTCCTGTCCCAAACTGCATTTCCTCATCACCTAATAATGTTTTCATTTGTGGCATGTTTTTTGTTGTGACATATCCCTCAAACTGATTTCTATTTATTTACCTTTTTGTAATTTAATTTGTCGCTCCTAAACATAATGCTGGTAAGACTGTTTTTTTTTATTCATGAATAGTCCAGTTGTGTCCATGTTCTGTCTGCATCGTAAAGTAGGTGATGGGTAATGTGACAGATGGAGAACTGCATCAGTCTCACCAGTAATTTATTCAGCACTGTCGTCGTTTAAAAAAAAAAAAGCTATTGCAGGCAGAAAACTCTTGTACATAGAATTTGTTTATTTCTTTTTTCACTGACTGGTTATGTAACTTTTGCAGTATCATGTACATTTTCTCAATAAACGTGAACAGATGACAGAAGTGTGTGTGGGTGTTTTGAGTTTCAGTTGGGTGCAGTACCTGCGGTAGTCCACAGGATGGCAGTAAAAAGCTTTCAGATTACTGCAGAAGTGTTGCCTGAGGTATCGGAACTTCACTGATGGCCAACGTGGTAGAGTTAGGAGAGGGTTAACACAAATCTATAATGATTTCCTTGTCATTTCCTTGTTGAAATATTTGAACCTCATTTAAAGTTGAATAAAGTCTGCATGGACATTGTGAACATTTAAAACCAGCTGAATTGATGACAACTGTCTTAAAACCATGAGAGGGTTACTTAACCAAAAGGAGAAATAGTAGGTTTGGCAATGAAAAGATGTATTTCAAACTGTATATCAGACCTAAAAAAGACTTCACTACCCAATTCCCAACTATTCCAGATGTTTAAGTTTTGAGATTGAGTTGGAATCCTCACTGTAGGGAAGACGGGGGATGGTTGGCACGCAGCTAATTCCTGGTACTTTGTAGGTTACAGAAACTAAACATCAAAATGTTTGCCCTCTTGGCCTGCGCTCAGCTACTATGTTAGATCATCTGGATGTCACTCACTTTGTTATTTTACTATCAAACGTTTAGAGATGTTGGAAATGTGTTACTTTAATTAATAGACAAAAGATCAGCTATATTTTGATAGCAGATTTGAACGTCTGTGATGAGTGGTGGTAGCTGGCTTAGTCCCATCGCAAAGTGGGGTCAAATGTGCGTGGAGTAGGTTGGCCAGTTGTAACATAGTGTTTTTAAAGAGACTTAAAAATTAAATTCGATGTTTATATTGTTAGTTTTTTATTTTGAAAGTCAATGGAAAATGTGTTTTGGTTTTAATTGGCAGATGTTTTATGTAGGTCTTATGTTTTCTGGATTTTGTCTGATTTGTTGCTAACCAGTGCCGTAATGGGGCTGGTTTCCACAAATGCACGACATGACTTTAGCCATGAATCACCTCATTTTACGAAGACATTCGTGTAGGCTACATTAAAGAAACATACTTTTTATTTGTTGTTTTTACAGCTGAGATCTTAACCTTTCATTTGCCGCTTGTGAGAATATTTTAAAATTGATTTTGCCAGAGAAATACAACTGAGAGGGAAATGTGTGCCAACCAGCCCCGGTCTCCCCTACAGGATCACTACCTTGACAGTTATCTGGCTGATAATAGTCCTGTTATCCTGAACTTCAGGATAACAGTTACTTCTCTGCAATATATTGTGTGCCAGATGCGTCCTCCATTAACACTAAACAATGGCATACCAGTAGTCTAGTTTAAAAGTGGATTTAAGTGTCCTTTTTTCACAAATCAGTTGTTGGAGACATAAACATGTCATGTATTTGGAAGTCTCATAACATAACTTTTCTGCATGTGTCTCAGTTTCTCAACAAGCACATCATCACCAGTAACTATTCAAGTCGTCTTTAAATCTCAGTCGAGTGGTTTTGGAAAGATTATGGTGAAAAATAATCCTAGCAGACTGTGCAGAGGAGCCTGAGTGATCACAAATTGGCCAAGCCAAACCCTCACAGTCTCACAGCTGTCAATCCGCAGCCTCCCACGTGGTCAGCAGGGCGGGCGCATCTCAACTAGTTCAACGTGCAACTTTTAGGGAGGCAAACAATTGGACCCAATGGTAGTTGCACTTGCACATCCGTGTAGGATACTCCCCGACAGGAAACAACAACCTGCAAAGTCAGAAGGCGCCTCTTCTCTGGTTGGCATCCAGATCGCTCCCATCTGTGTCTGGCATAAACCCGGTGCGCGCTGCTGCTGCCTCTTGTTCCAAGACTAATTTAAGACAGCGCTTTGAACCCCGTGCCATAGTGTACTGGAGCTGAGTGTTGTGAATGTGTTAGGTGCGCTGTTTAGCCACTCCGCAGAGCCTGAGAAGAGTTTAATCGCAGCGCTACACCAACAAACAAGGCGTTTGGAGTTGTTTTCTATTTACCAAGAGGACTGTGAGGCAGGATCTCAGCATGGATACAGCCAGCGACTCTATCGGGGAAAGTAAGCCGGTGTGTCAGTGTGCTCCAAAGTCCGCGGTCCAGCGGTGGCTTCCAGGTTTTCCCATCGCTCTGTGCATGCTGATGTCCCTGAGCTCCATCACCGTGTGTCTTCTGATGAGCCTCAAGACCCACCAGCTGGAGAACCGACTGCAGATGGAGATGGACAAAGCGTCCATCTTCCAGCCGCCGCACAGGGCTTGTCTTAACGAGGATGGGACCCTAATTCCTGAGCTGAGCACTTCAGTGGGGAGGCTCGTGGAAGAGGTACCTGACGTCTACTGTCATTGATCAATACATCTTGTGTTTGTGAACTTCTGACAGAGGCTTCGCGTCTTTGTGCGTAAAGTGCGCGTAATAGCAGGGGGCACATGTAGTGAGAGTCAGAATCCGGTTTATTGCCAAGTAGGTTTGCACATACAGGGAATTTGCTTTAGTGTTTGAAGCATAGACAAAAAACCCCACATAAATAATGCATAGAAATGTTTGCAATAAAAATATAAAATGACAGAGCTGGGCAGGAATGTGCACAAATACACTCTAGGGCATGTGCAAAAGTTCCCACAATTAAGGATAAGAAGAATAAACCATGTACAGAGATATTAGCATCAAAAAGATGTGCATTCATGTGGCACATACAGACAGATGTGAAGTTGACAAACACTCAGACTTGGCACTTTTTGGCAATTGCACCCTAATTATCTCCCCCTCCTGAAATGAGTCCCTTTCAACGTATGACCGTAGGGATCAACCTTGCATGCAGCTGGCCAATTAGTTTGCAGTTAAATCTCTTTATAGGGTGACATAACCACCGATGAGACAGCAACCTATAATTTCATCACATGGAAAAGAAATTGAGGAAGCTCCTTTCATTCTTGAGCTGTGCGTAATGGGAAAAAGATTATGATCTCGTAATTGTTATTGAGATGATTTTAATCTCATTCCGTTCTCAACAATTTCCCCAGTGCGAACACAAACATGTTTAGGACTGAGATTTGTTCTGTGTGTCTGCAGAAAGTGGGGGTGCTGATGCCGAAATCAAGGACGACTAGGGATGCTGGCCAAGAGTGCTCCTGTCCTCCAGGTATGTCTCCGTTACATTTACCAGAACACACACACAAAACAAACAAGACGCTATAAATCTGAACCCACTCAGGTGGAAGTTACAGTCTAGGCATGACTGTGTCTGGCTCTGATGCTTTCAGCAGCTCTACTGAACTTTAAGAGTGCATGTGTGTGTGTGTCTTTTTCTGTGTGGGGCCCCTGGGCCTGTGGAAGGGCCCACACTGTGACAGCAGGGCTCTTCACTCAGCAGATCAGCGGGGCTGGAACGTCCAGCTCGAGCCCCGCAGCCTCGTGTCAGTGGGGGACGCTCATTTTTAATAGACGGAGCAGCCGTGTGCCAAGATGGGCCACGTTTGGTTGGCGGTGTTCGTTACAGGCTTGTGATAGTTCCACAGGTGGAGAACAGTGTGTGATCCACATCGTGTTACACACAGAGGCCTGTGGATTAAAGAAAGGTGGTGTTTTGGGCGAAGCTGCTGCTATGATGTTTGATGTGATGTGAACATGAGTGGGTGTGCCGAACTGATCAGCTGTGTGTTTAATGGTTTACATGGGATTTTTTTAACCTCACCTGTGGAGGGGAAAGTTGTGGTTTTAAAGCCAGGGGAATTCTCTGGCCTGCAGTAAGAAGATGTGTGTGTGTTTTATTGAAACTGGCACTCACGACATTCCACTTTTTTAAAAACTGCAACTCGAGTGGAATCTCATCATTTGTGTTATCACGTTTTTCACTTTTAAAATGCTGCATGAAGAAGTACCAGAGTTTTTAAGGCGCTTATCTGCACATTTGGGAAATTTCTCTCCCTGGCTCTTCCTCCTTTCTTTTTCTTTCTCTTTGTCTGCGGGTGTGAATAGCCCTGCAACAACAAGAACAGGTGAAAGCGTTCACAAGTGGAATTTCTGGCCCGCTTTCAAAACATTCTGTCTTCCCGTCTGAAGTCTGCTGTGCCAAGATGGCTCGCTGGCTCTGTCTGGCTGGCTAGTGAAGTTGGTGCAAGTGTTTGTTGTTTGCTTTGGACCCGTGAGATCTGAAGCTGTCAACACAAGCTGCAGTTCTCTCCTGTGGTTCCACTTGTATAAATTTCTCCTGAGCATGACTCAGTAGAATAGTAATCAGAGGTATATGTGCCTTGTATAAAGTTGCCCAGTGAGGTCAACTCTGCACTGCCCTTGCTGGGCACTGGTAATTTCTCCATTAGAACATATTATTGTATCACATGCTGCATCCCATTTTCCTGTCAATTTTGCTGAACTGCTGTGCAATCAGGCGGTTTTGGCACTGAAATACAATCCCTCCACAACTATTCAGAAGTCTATTTAAAGTCTCTCTTTCCACTTTCTGGTCTTTAAATATGTCTTTTTTTCCTGTTGGTGAAACAAAAGGCTATTTTGTTTATTGCGGCTTTGATGCAACTGAATGCCTGTGAACACGCACTATGTTTTTCACAGCCCAACAGTTCCCCAGATTGCTCAATACAGACTTGCGAACATTACTGCAAAAAAAGCGTATGTTTCTAAAGAGGGTTTCTCAGCTGAGAGATTTAGATTTGGAGAGTTTGTCGAGGTGCTTTGTGCTCAAGAAGCCACACGAGCTGGGTACTATCAGGTTTGTGCCAAGCTCTGTATACAGTATGTGACTCATGTAAAATGCTTTATGTATGCATCAGAGCTGTGCCTAAATGTGTGCATCCCATCTGCGTCCTTGCGAGAGAGTGTACAGTCTGGTCATGGTCCCATATGGCTACATGTGGTGCTGTGTGTGTGTGTGTGTGTGTGTGCGCGCGAGTCTGGGTTTATGTCTCGGAGCCTTTGACGGGCCGACAGAGGCACCTCTCTCAACACGACACTGTAAGAAGAGACCCTCCTCTCCCTTTAGCACCAGCTCGTCCCACCTGAAACTTGAATCTCTCACCACCAGGATCACAGGCCAAGGTATTTCTGCCTGTATGTGTGTGAGAGACACACAGCCGCACAGCATGAGCGGCATTTCTGCCATTAAAGCTATGCCCACCGCATCAGGGTGCTCACCTTTCAGCGTGCATGAAGACGGGGGCCCAACAGGGGGCAGCACTTCTGCAGCAGCTCTGGGAATGATGATGTCTTGAGTGTGTCAGTGACACTTCTGACTGAATGACTTCTGTCGTATGAAATATGAAGGTATTTTAAAGGTAACGCTCTCTAGTTCAGTCAGCAGTGGAGTAGCAGACACACTGCCGAGAAGGAATTTGACGCCAAGGGACATCTTCGTCTCGTAGCTGCTCAGCAGAGGCAGCATTGTGACACTTTAATGCTCACAGATACGACCAGCAGTTGTTAAGGCTTAGGCAAACTATGAGTCCAGCCCTGCTTACAAGCTTCAGGTGTTTGCAATTAACACCCGCCTGTTCCCTCAACAGACACACACTACGTATGCTCGCACACAAACCTCACACACACACACACACACACACACACACACACACACACACACACACACACAGATTCATTACTTACACATGAACACAACACCTTTACGGTGCCTTGGCTAATTAGAACCATGTGGGGGCTGCATGTGTCCTGTGTAGGGGGAGTGTATTGTCATCGCTGCAATTTGCATTTAAAGGGTGTTTAACAGGTCTGATACCAGCGAGGTGGGGCACACAGTCTGCCCACACTTGGGCACAGGGCCCAAAATGAAATGTCCGCCAGATACACTCATTAATGTCACTCAGTCGCTGAAGTCTGCAGCAGGAGAGGATGCTGAAACAGCACAGTCAGCACCGACTGACAGGACATTTTGGGGGGATTTTCATGTAGGAAGGAATTCAAGATTTGCACAGCCTCCTTGAACATTTAGATGAAAACTGCAAACTATGTTTTTTTTTTTACTTCCTATAGGAATATACCTTAGTAGCTTTTCCAGGTATTGATGACACAGTTGTGAGGATTCACTACTTTTCAAGTGAATATTCTTGGAGTTTGGCCTGTTGGTGACACAACTACCAGAGGACACTTTTCTCTACATTTGTGACATTTTATAGACCAAACAACTGATTGATCAAGCCTGTCTTGATGTATTGTGTTTGGATTATTGATCAGTAAACATGGGATAGCATGGCTGTATCTTAAACATTAGTCAGGACTGAGCTCCTTCAGTCAGTTAGGGCATCTAAGTATTTGGTGTTAGTGTATATGAGGGCAAGAGGTCAGACCCCTGGCTGTGCGGTCAGATCAATTTCCATCAGATAAGAGCTTATTAACGTACTGAGGGGGAACAAAGGCCCCCATATGTGTGTATGTGTGTTTATATAACTTGGAGAGCGTGCTCGCTGCGGGGTTCTCTGATGCATTTAACATGTACACGCTAGAGATGTGCGTGATTAGTTGACTAGTCGATTAAATCTTGCTGCCGTCACTAGTCGGCACCAGAAATACAAGTTGATTAAATGTGTTAATATTATTTAATCACATTTAAATAACACATTAATACACACTCTTATGGGTTTTTTTGTTTGATTTTTAACCATAGGATTGGCTGTTTGCTATGTGATTGTGTTCACCCAATGAAATTGCCATTTTACGCAGAGTTTCCCAAAGATTTATCTTCCTAAAGGATATTATTTTCAATGACTGTTATCTGTTATCTTTTATGTTGTGAGTTGTTTTGTGGGACAATGTGCAGCCACGCATTTAAGCGGCATTTAAAACCCGATTTTGTTAATAAAGAAAGAGAATTAACACTATCAAATGGCGTTTAGATATCTTCTGTATGTATCTGTTTTAAAAATGTTTTCTTACTTTTAGATAAGTTGACCAGTCAAGGTTCAAACTTCCGTTTAAATGTCTGGGAAATAAGTCGTTAGGAACGTCCCTTGCACAGGCACACCTATTTGTATTTATTGCTACACATGTAATTGTTCGCTGTTATGCTCCCACCGTCTTCCGCAGGCTGAGGAATACAGTATAACATCAGCCTCTCACTCAGGAAGCAGAGGGGAGGCTGCACGCTCTCCCTGCCCAGCTTCCTGCTCCCCCACCTGGAGGAGGAGACGGGGAAAGCCGGCTTTAGGGAGACCCACAATGGGGCCAGCACCCCCCTCAGGGCTGCGTTTTGGTTTTTAAAGCCATAATAAATCAGACAGGAAGCTTGCAGCTACCTATACAATCTATCACCACAGGACGAACACACAGGCCGTATAATTAATGACCATTTTGAAATAATAAACGCAGGAAATTTGTTTTCATAAGTGGTCTCATTTTAGATTCGTTCTGCTATAGCTATGGGCAGTTTTTTTTTTTATTGTATTAATATGCTGGAGAGCAGCACATAACTAGCTCTGTGTGTGTGTGTGTGTGTGTGTGTGTGTGTGTGTGTGTGTGTGTGTGTGTGTGCATGTGTCAGTCTCTGCTTGTTGCAGCCATGTATTTAGTGCATGTGTGTTTGTTTTGATGTCTGCAGGCATGTGTTTTAGTGTGCAGCTCTGCTTTACTTTAAATTCAGGACGTATGAAGTCAGTTATGAAGAGTGTATCCTGTGGCAGAAAATCCAGCTGGCTTTTTACATTATGCTGCAGATTTCAAACCAGGGAAGAAAATATGCATTTTTTAAAATACAAAATACTTTTTATCCTGCCGCTGCACAGAATCACATTGGTGTTCGTGTAGCTATAGTCACTGATGGTTACTGCTTTATGATGGACATTGCTAGAAAGGTAATAGCCGTATCCATCCCCTATTCACTTTGTCTTCCCCTTGCAGCCTGCTTTGTGTTTAACACTGTATCACAGACTACAGATCCCATCATCATATGGACAGCAGCTCTGATGCACAGCTGTGCGAGCCCCGTGTCCTCAGGTTACTTTTATCCTTCGGCTGATGTGTCTGTTATTCTCACTAGTTCGCTGTAAGAGACGCCTCGAGTGTGTTCAGTTTATTTGGAGAAGACAAGGGGAATGCTGCCTCTTAGACAGTCGGAGATATTTAGTTTGGAAATGTCTCTATCGTTGAAGTCAAAGGCTGCAATGAAGAATGGTATATTAC